ATCTGGATATTTGAGAGTTAACTTTCTACCAACCACATCTTTATTATTCCACCTCTTCGTAGTATTTGGAGGTCTTTCATGTTCCAGACATGCGCAAAAGGGCACTATCGTGTTTTTTTTTTTTTTTTTTTTTTTTTTTTTTTTTTTTAATGGACAGTGCTGTAAAGGCTTGAAGTGTGATGCATTATCTGAAACAATCACATTATCTGCACTACTCTCTTTAGTAGCTATCATAATATCTTCTATTTGGAATATTATAAACTAAGTTTTTGTTAGAATGTGATGTTGCTGTATGTTTTTTAACAAAATGATCCGTGACGACATTCAATTTTAATATCTATTTAAACATGCATTTCAGTCGTATTTAACTCACGAGAACGTCCTTTCTTATTACTGATCGAGATTCTAGCTTGGGATTACAAGCTCATGAGGCCTGTGGCGCTTTGGCTAGCGCATAGCGCAGCAACACAACGGGTCCGGGATTCGATCCCCAGGCTGGGCAAGGTTGATTCAGCCTTTCATCCAAATAAATAACTACCATGTTTCAAAAAATAACTACCATGTTTGCTTGGGAACAAAACGCCGGGACCCTGCGACAAGCTGACCACTTGTCCAGGATATATGCTCACTCATCCTGGGGCCCACGGTTAAGAAAGCAGATATTAGGGCACTGCAGGCCATGGTTCACTAAGGGCTTTTGCGCGATTGAATTTGTTATTATAAGCCCATTAATACTTTTGTTATTATAACCCCATTAATATTTTTGTTATTATAAGCCCATTAATATATTATATGTTATATATTTTTATTATTTTTCGTTAAATAAGATTTCAAGGATTTTTTATTAAACTCTTTTTACTTTCTTAATTCTATTGGTTTTAATAATATCAAGGCATTTAGAATACCCCGGCTTGTCCAAAGGTCTCGCACATATGTGATTTATGAAATCCAGAAAAATAGAAAGAATCTATGAAAGATAAAAATGCTTTTATTTCTGGTAACTTCCCCTGATGAACATCTAGGATTTTCTAAAATGATGAGAACTCATTTCGATAATAAATTTTCAACAATTGTTGATAATGTTATCTCATCAATTCGGAGTCGTCTTGAATCAACAGATCATTTATTTTCAGTCTCCTCAGCATTTTGGCCTAGTTTTCAGCTTCCCCAACGTATCTTTGTAGCTGTGTTATGTGAAGAATTCTCACAGTTTGTTGAGATAGCTTTTGTCTGCCAAATTTTCTGAAGTAAGATTCATCAGATATTTTAGCATTTGATAACATTTGATTAAATTGGTATAAGAATCTAATTCCTCTTTCAAGCATGAAGAATGATCAATAATTCCCTTCCATCAAATGTTTCTTTGCCTTCAAGTTCTTTTATTGATTCATCTACAGTTAGTTGCAACTTTAGCAAAAAATATCCATAAACTTGCAACTTCGTAGCTCAAGTGGGAATGCATTTTTCTGAGAAATTCAAACTTAACCATAATTTGAAATGAAAACCCGAAGTTCACACTACACAGCAAGATAAATTAATTTTATCTTAATGTTTTACCAGTTTTTTCGAAGTTTAGAATCACTACCAGAGTAAAAGAGATCACGTTGATAGCAGCTATTGATTATTATGCTGATCAATTTTCATTTAGAGAAAAGCTTCTGAATTCTATTTCAGAAGAATCCAGGAGACTTTTATAGCAGCGTTTTCGTGGTTTTTCTCGAAGTTTACTTGTCGAATTTTGGAGCAAAATATTAGCAGCAACTGTTTCTATTTTAACATTAGATAACATATGAGATAAAACAGAGAATAAATTAAAATTTAATTTATAAAGTTCTGCTTTTTAAGTGAACATTTCGTTTCAAACAAATAAAGATACAAAGGAGAGTAATATTTTATCGAGGCAATTATGTAAACACTTTTCTTTCTTACAGTATGCTAATGAGGAAAGGAGGAAATGAATTATAAATTCCTGGAATTAGCTTGAATGTAAAAGATGAAATATTAATCTGAACACTAATGATTCATTATTTTTTTGCATAATACAGGATTAAACTATGCGTCGATGAAATTTATCATTCAGAAGAATTTGATTCGAATTTGTTTTAGTTTAATCTCATTTTTGTACCTTGTATCTTCTGATAAATTGTTTCCGTTGCTGGTATTTTTCAATCTACTGGTTTAAATCTTTAATTTACCTTTCTTTAATTCTGAGGTAATTTGATTTTTTAGTTTTATTTTTAAGCATAAATATTCAAACGGCAATCTTTTAAATTTGTCTGAGTACCGGAATAATAATCAATTTATCGATCTTGTTCAGAATGTGGAAATGGGATTTCAGGGAAGGTATTAGAAGCTTAGTAATGAATTAAAAGACATCTGAAAAAATGGAAAGCAAATCTTAAAATCAGGAGGCAAATCTATGAGGTAAAGTTTATTTTCGTGACTTAATTACAGATTTAATTCTAATAAAGTTATACAGAAAGGATGTAATTCTCTTAATGAAAATGGAATTGAAAGCGCAGGTCACAGAAGTGCAATTGCAAAAATCAGATACATAAAATAGAATTTTATTAAAGTCAGATTAAAATAGATTTCACACACTGATTTATAACCGTATAGGCAATTTACTTCTATATGTACAAGTAATTAATTTTCGGATATTTATATATATATAAGCGGCTTAAATGTTTGTCGCCGATAGTTTATTGGTTGCTTGCGTAACTGTAAATTGTTTTATTCCCCTTGCAGTGCAGCGCGTGACGAATATTATTAGAAAGCTAAGCCGGAAAAATTAAAAATACAAGAGCACGTGCATTTAACATTTAATAAATAAATTTAACATCTATATATAATAGAATTCGGAAATATGCAACCGGCAAAAAACTGCAACGATGAAAAAACAAATAAAATGAAATAAATAAATATCTTTATTATATGCGGCTTAAGTGTCTGTTTGCTTAAGTGTTTGGTTGCTTAAGTATCTGTACTACCCAATGTCCAATTAAATCACCAATTAAATCACCTTTATTTATTGAGCTAGCGGTGGCTCTTAAGGAATGTACAGCCAGTTGTTTCCTTCATTGCACTCTATTATAAGCAATTAAGCAAGTAGAAAGGGGAAACCCCATGGGGCAGTAAGCAAAGTGGCGTCCTCGCCGCCTGCCGTGAGTAATCCAGTTTGAATTAGCAGACAACTTTGCACAAATCATTTTAATTACAAGTTATAATATCTAAAACAAGCGGTCATTTCGTATGACCGCCGAGTTTTTTATAACTATGCATCTTGAAATGAGAGAGTTTATTTGAATGGAAATATTTTAATAAATTTTTGTTAGTGAAAAAATTTATAATCTTGCAATCCTTGTATAGTGTGCGAGAGTGTACATAGCATATATTATACGAACGTCATACAACAGTGTGCTCCAGATGACACAACATTTTTTTTTATTAATTAGATACCTTATTTTTTTTCTTTTCAGCAATGAAACTAGATTGCTGAGTAATGTTATTTCGTTTTTAAATTAATAATCGTTTTTCTTAGTTATATACTAATGCTTTTATAGTTCCATCTCGTACATTTTCAAGAAAAATAACTGTTCTCGAGTTTCATTTAGAGGTACCTCAAGAGCAAGCTCATTGTGCTGTCATATTTTAAATTCAAGATCACATCAAAGGTACCGCCGCTAATGCACCCGACGGCATGATACGAGAAGCTGTGGATAGCTTCCAGCATCTCTAAGAGGGATGTATGTTGGTACTGGGGCGCCTTTTTGGCAGAAATCAAATTCAAGCATTGACTATTAAATCAAACACTGACATTTCATTTGTTGAAATGAGCGTGGCCTGTTATAATCATGAGACCAACTTGTTTGGTTAGGTGCGTCGGGCTGCGCCCACTACTGACTACTAGTACTGACTCAAACACTGGTTCCTGCAATTACTATTTTTCTTAAAAAACAATATATTTTAAAAATTGAGTTGTTTATTTAGAGTATAATTTTATTCATAGCGTTGTAATATCGTGCATTAGTATAATTTGCCTTTTATACTGTCCAGACGGGAAAGTGGTTAGTAATTCTGACTGCCGTATCCAAGGGCCCGGGTTTGAATCCCGGAGAAGGTGTGGATGTAAATTGTCTGTCGTTTCATTGGAGGCAACGATGGTCCAGCTATTATGTGCTTCAATAATAAAGTGACCACCGCTTCCGACCTTAGAAGTGGCCAACGCCTATAACGCCTAGTTCCCGCCATTGGAAATAAAAAAAATAATGTTAAAAATATGGTTTAGTGACAAATGACTGTAAAATGTACTCTTTTGTATTTCAATTATTTATTTCACATTATTTGAAGTCTTTTATTTAAAAATTAAAGTTTTGGTTTTTGTTGACTATTTATTTTTTCCATTATTTTTGTGTTCTCAAATAAGAGGAGAAGCACCTAGATGTAAAACTGAAAATTCGGCAAAACAGAAACCTTATTTCGGCGTATATTAAATATGAGAATAACTGAATATAAGAACTATGATCTTCGGTAGCTAATATATTTTGAAAGTGACTCTTGCTTCTGATTTCTCTGAAACGTAATTGCAATTTTGACTTTGGTTCTGCAACTGAAGCAGCATTATGGATACTAAATAGCTAAAACTTCTTCAGTTGATGAATGGGATTTCCTTGAAGCTTTTCACATTCAGAAAAATTTATTAACCCTTTTAAAATTCTTAATATTTCATGTGTCTTTACTAATGTTTACGTTATGCTACCCTGGCGTAGATACGTTACGCTGGCGCGTTTTTCCTCCCGATTATTTTTGATATAAATCCAGTCGTTTCTCCGCCATTTTCTGCAGAATTGTTTTACTTCTGAAGAACTGAATCCTGATAGTCCTCGAAATTAATAGAGATTTCTGTAGAATCTTTGCCAAAATAAGGCTGTTTTATCTAATTTTAAATTTCATTAATTTACTTATAATGGATCAACACTAAAAATATATGTTTATTGTAGGAAAGAAATATGAAAATGTTTTCTTGCTACGCAGTTAACAAAGCGCTTAGTGAAACCTTGGTAGAATCAGCTGTGGTTAGCGTACTATGTAAGTAAAACCCATTTATGTTTTTGTTTTATTTTACATTCGCTTTCTATCATTAAAGTAAAATATTATTTGTTTTAACGATTTTAGTGATTTAGTTTAATAATGAAAAACTCATTTGCTGAATTTTTATAATATTCCACATATACATTTATTGTTATTGTTAATTTAATTCTAGATCCACCAGAACCACCTTCTATCATTGGATACACAGAGGGAACCCCCATAGAAACTGGTCAGACTCAACAAATGACTTGCATTTCGCAAGGAGGAAACCCTCTTCCAAATCTTAAGTGGTTTAGAAAAGATAAAGAGGTAAGTAAAGTAACTTTTGTTGATGCTTTGCATATTAATTCATGCTAATATTTCTCAGATGATGAATTTATTCCTACAATAAGAAATTAAAATTTCCTCCATCTAACGTCTTGATATGAAGTTGCCTTGATTTAAGTAAATATTACGTTTAAATTTCTGGCGTAGTTTCCTGGATTTTTTTTTGTTTTGTTATAGAATTAATTGACGTGCCTTTTTTGTAGAATACTGCATAGATTTTTAAACCATATGAATTATGATGCATTTATATGTATTCAACGCATACAAACTGAAAGAACAGCAAGAGAAATAATATTGAGTTTGATTTTTAGATTTATGTTGAATGGATATTATTGAAAGCTCAGGCTAGATATTTTGCTATAAGTTCCATATAAAATATTATTGTTCTATATATTGCTTTTTGCCGAAAGGTTTTACACATAAATTATATTGGAGTTTGCATTCGATAAATGAAACAGGGATTCATTTGGTTTATGTAAATTAAATTCTTAATTTATCGGAATTTGCTTTCATAATTTTTAATAATTAATTTCTGTCACAAAATTGTAACTGAATATTTTGCACCTAAAATATTTTGAATTTACTTTAAAAATCCTATTAATTGAAATTTAATATGTACTCACAGATAACTTTTAAAGTTTCACTTCATATAAAATACGACTTTTCATATTGTGTTTAGGAATTTCTTATAATGGGATTTATAATTTATAAACGCGTATTTTCTTCCAGTTTCTGAGTGAAAAGGGGTTATAAATTAAAGTTTTCTAAGCTCCTTTGTTCAACAAAAAAAAAGTATATATGCAAAGCGAGTTTAAATGAAAACCTGTTGCTTTTCAATCGATAAGTTTAATTTATTTTCAGCTGTGTTAAAACTGAAAAAAAAAAAAAAAAAAAAAAAAAAAAAAAAAAAAAACTTTTAAAACCTATGTAAATATTTTAACATCATTTAAGAATTAGTTTTAATATACACAAATCACTGAATACTAATCTTGCAGTTCATAATCATTTTGGTTTGTAATATCCTTTTTGCAACTTTAACGAAAGTACTGACAGTCTTGCAGGGAATATCTTTATAGAAATTGCAAGAAATTTTATTCGCATAACTAGTGTTTAGGCGTTTACTGCTTCCTGTTTCCATTAGACTTATAATATTTAATATAGTAACAATAACTTATAATACATAACATAACTTATAATACATAACAATTACTCTTATGAGACAATTAAATTTAAATTTAAATAGCATTTGTTTAATGTTTGTATTAATAAATTTTCTCTTTCCTTAAATTTTATATAATTTCAAAATTTCATACTTGGTATGTTTATAAAACAGACTCCGCACATTCATTTAAACCGTAAAAAATCTTACTGGCTTAATATGTATTTAAATACTTCCTTCTCTTATGGGACTTAAGTTTTATTTAAGCAGCTTAATTAATGCTAACTAAATTAAGCCATTACTTCCAAGTTATTTTAGAAGAGGCAAATGTTGTTGAAATAAATTTCTCGATTTTGCTGTTTGTATCTGTTCCAGAAACTAATTAATGTAATCTGAGATCATTTTAGGTAAAATGAATATTATGTGAAGTATTTAAAAACAAATGAGATAACTTGTATCAAGTACTTAATCTGCTTTATGAAAATGTAATTTTTGATTAAATTGTACATAATTAAGTAATATTTGGTTTAGAAGTTTTAGGTTTTGAGGAAACAATAAGTATATTAAGAACAGTAATAAATATTTATGCCCTGAGGGGATATTTTATTTCTTATGTAAGGATAATGTATCTTTAATTAATTCTGTCGCTTATCTGTATGATATCATTTTCCTTTTCTACTCCGACAGCTCGTTTCTTCCACAACGACCAATAACAACATTGTTTCAGCAGAATTATCGATTACAGTTGATGATAACGACAACGGCGTGGAATATCGATGCGAAGCTTCTAACTCTGCATCGAATGTGCCAATGTTTGCCACGACGAGACTCACTGTTTACTGTAAGTAAAAATGCATTTTTTATTTATTTTTTGAATAGACAACATTTCATTGATTATTTTGCAGTTATGTAACTTCGAGTAACGTATTGAGAAACATAAAATAATTGCCTAGTCTGTATCTTTAAATCTTTCTCTCCGCACCCGAAAATATCTGATTGGCAGTTTAGTTTGACGTTACTATCAGTATCTTAAAAGGAATTTAGAATATGGGAAAATAAATAGTTTTCCTTTTAAAAAAGAGCTCATTGTACGCATGCATATTTATTAGTTACAGTGGATTAACTGTATGAATAAAGCTCACTCAGAGCTTTGAAGAATCAAATTTATTTACAGTGTTTTCTAATATCTGTTATTTACTTACGCAACAATTAAAATTATTTAAAATCTTAGGTGATTTCTTTAAAAGCTCTTCGAATGAGAAACAGGAACATGGAGATTTAAATCAATGTGACATTTCGTGGCTAGTTTTGCCAGAGCATCAGCTGTCTTATTTCTAAAATTTGACAGCTTCCTCGAGCGTAAGCAAAATGAATGCCGATTCAAGGTCTAATTAATAATCTGAATTTCAACAGCAAGTTTCTCTAAAACTCTAATTTTCTGTAGTAATTGTAGCGAAGAAATAGAATCATTACATATTAAAATAATCATGAACGCAAACCATTACAAGAACTCTGAATTCATTTCACAGCAAGGTCTAAACATAGCCACTCAGCCTGAAAACCAGAGCACTTATCATTAATTCTGTACTGTTTGAAATTTTCTTTCTTGTTTTTGTTAATGAACAACAAAAGCAAAGCAAAGCTTATCGTTTACCTTACTTCCATCTGTAAAACAAATTAATTTGTACTCTTCAAAAACAGCATTGGAATAGGCAACAACTGGTATAGGATTACTGTTAAAAGGATGCGCCAAAGAAGAAACTGGAAGGCTGCCGTCAAGAAAACGTGACGGCAGTCTTCTAGCTCCTGTGCCAAGGATCGCATGCAAATATATGTATATATGTATGTGTGTTTAAAAAGGTTTTTAAAGTATGTATTTCTTGCTCGAAGAAATCACTTCATGAATTTAAAAATTAAACACACGTACTTTGAATAATGCAACTAGCTAACCTAGGATAAATTAAGTAAGTCGCGATATTTTCCATTATCTGCATTTTGATGTGCTTTCTTAATTAAAAATACTTTTCTTTGAAACCAATGAGTAAAATTTCGGGTAATTAGTAAAATGTCAGTTTATCTTGCAGAAATTGACTGAACCATAATAATGAATACATAGGTTATATAATTTTATTAAACTACATTACTTATGATATTCAACTCTTATAACTCGATTTCTTAGCTGTAGAGCAAAACAGCTTGAAAATTCTTAAACGAAGTGTATGTATTTATTTTTATAAAAAGTATCGAAGACTGTATCATTTTAGTGATCCCAGCAAAAGAATATCCATTAATCATTATCTGTCACGCATAAGGAACGTTTCATTACAACCATGTATGTAATTCTGGACCATTAAACTCCGAGATAAGCATTAGTTTCTAAGTGAAAATGCTAACCATTATGTCGAAGCAAAATAGAAAAAGGAAAGTAGCAAAAGTGTTTTTGTAAAAATGCGCTAATTCTTTATAGCAATATTTTGCGGTAAATTTAGTAAAAATTTAAAATAGTGTTTTCTTACTTCTGTGTTGGAAATCCTCACGAAGCGTGCCAGGAAATTTGAAATTTAAATATTCATTTTAAGAAACAATTCAGACTAAAAAAATAAATCTGTAGAATCATGAATGAGGTTTCTTAGAGGAAGAAATCTTAAAAAATAAATTCTGACCTCATTCCGAAAAAAAAAACAGACACACTTTTACATTGTTGGATGATATCTACACGGCAAACACCCTTGGAAAGAGTGACGCTAAGCCTTTGCATTTTCTAATCCTTTGAGCGTTCCGGGTTTAGCCCTGAGATTTCAAAACTTTTCAAAGTGTCATAAATATATGCTATTTTTTTATTATAATTAAACAATGATTGTCTCACTTTGTACCTTGATTTCGTTTCTTCCAATAAACATCCAACCTGAAATCGGATGCATTAAAAGCTTGCAGTGTATCATTTCATGCATAATGAATACGAAAGCTATCCTTCTATATGGAATTTCCGTTGATAACCCTTAGAGGGTTTTCAAATAAAATTCCAACAGGGTGGAAAGCAGATAGATACTGTTGGCCAAAATCATTGGGATGATGAGTTATCGTCTGGCAGAGTTTTGAATTCGGACGCCATTTAAAGTCATTAGTTTTTTTTAATAGGAAATTGTGTAAAACTCATTTTTGTCTTCAGTAGGAAACGAACCAGCTGGATGTGTTAAACCCACATAAAACACAAGAACACATAAAATGAATACTTTAAGTGCTGATTACTGTTTAAAACTAAACATCGAACTAGCATTGATTAGATACTTTAATCGAAAATGTTTAAGTCCAACTGTCAAAATTAATACATATAATTCATTTTGCAGCAAGTATGTTCCTGTCAAAATGTACCTGAACTTTTATAGACAAAGCCAATACCTAAAAATATAAACTGTTAAGTATAGTTAATGGCTAATGCCTTAAAGTAATACTTTGAACTACATTAGTCTTCTAATTCATAATATAATCTTTTAAGTACTTGAGACTAAACGGGATCCCCCCTGCAAAGGTATTTTGCAACTCTCAACAGACCGTCGTCATATTTAGGCTTCTTCACAGAGTTACGAAATTAATTTAATTTTAATGCATTGCGTCTTGTGAGAAAAGACTAAATTATTAGAATAAAGGAGCTGAAATGAAAGAAGTTCAAGCAGATCAAAATATAAACTTTAATGCGATGAAAATGGTAAACACTAGTGCGCAAATTAATTTGTAAACTGCAGCTATTTTTTCATCGCATGTGTCGAAAAAGAAAATCGAATTCATTACGCTATATATTAATTTCTATTAATTGGAAAAACAATAAGAGAAAAACTTGGTTATTTTGTGCAGTTTGATTCTATGCATAGGTATGCATAGGAAAAACTGTAAAAAGTCTATCAGATAAAACCAAAAGTAAAAGTGTAGAGCACGTTTCGCATCTGATGTTTATTAACGGAAATAAATATTTCAGTAAAATAAAATAAAAACTTCTTCATTAAAGGCTGTTATTTAATTAATACAGCTACCTGTCGTACAGCATTGTGCAATATACAAGGTGTGGATATTAATTTCCAGGACTGCTCTAATAACACCAGAACAGATTATGTGGAAAACGTAACCTTTAAATATGTTTCGAAGTAATCCCCATCTGCCATAATACACATCTGTGCTCGGCTGTATAAGTTGTGGAAACAACTTTTAAAGTCCTCTTTCGGAAGGCTCTTCAATGTCGACGTCACGTTCTTCTTGATGTCTTCATAGTCTACAAAGCGTCTTCCTTTGATCACAGTTTTTAGTTTGAGAAACAAAAAGAAGTCAGTGGGGGGCCAAGTCAGGGGAGTATGGCGGATGATGCAGCTCCACGACCTCATGCTTGGCCAAAAACCTCTTCACTGGGAACGCAATGTGGAGGTAGGCGTTGTCAAGCAATGTGACGTCAACATTGATGAGCTTTCCGAAAGAGGACTTTAAAAGTCGTTTCCGCAACTTAAACAGCCGAGCACAGAAATGTATTATGACAGATGGGGATTACTTCGAAACATATTAAAAGATTACCTTTTTCACATCATCTGTTCTGGTATTATTAGAGCAGTCCTGGAAATTAATAGCCACACCTTGTATATCGGTACTCTTGTGTTATCGGGACCGGATTCAGAAATGCATGTATGTACGTGTGTATGCGTGTATGTGCATACGTACGTACATATATACATGCATACATGAAAACATACATCCACACATGAAAACATACATCCACATATACATGCATACATACATACATTTCTGAATCCGGTCCCAATAACAAAAGAGTACTCATGTTTTTTGCACATTTTTGTCCAATAGAAAAGGATGAACAATTTTGAACAGTGAATTTTGTTCAATAGAAAAGGAATAACAGTATAGGTATTGTAAGATTACAAAGAAGAATTAGTGTTTTCGAACTTTAGTCTGTAGTTAGCACAAGTTAAAAATATGAATTTTTTTTCGGTTAAAAAAAATCAAATGACTATTAAAACTATTTCTATCTATTAAAACTATCTTCTTTCATATAGCTCATAATAGTGTTACGAAATGTCCAGGCGCGGTAAGATAGCTTCCCCGCAAAGCAGCTTTAAGGTTGCCATAAAATTGCAAGGGGAGGCAGGGTTGCCACATTTGGCGACAAATCGCTCATTTGACTAGATTTGGCCACAAAATTGGCGATATGCCGTGGACGGATAGAGAACCTTCTGGAACGAATTATTACCGGTTTAACCCAGAACGTCCTCGAACACAAGCCGAAAGCTATGTAAACCCTGCTGGTCCGCAGTCAGTTAGTGTGTGTGCCTCGTCTAGAGTGCGAGATAGTGTGTCTCATCTATTTAGTCCGTGCGTAGACGATCGAGTTGACAGCCGGCCAGCGAGTGCCGAGTGGGTCGTCGAGTGCATCGAAGAGTCTCTTAGCGTATCGCGGTTAGTGCATCGTCGAGAGAGCGTGTTGAGCGCCGGGAACGACTGAACCGAAGAGTCGGGAGCCGTGGTCTGTGTGTCGTCGAGTGCATCACGAGTTGTAGTGTGGAGAGTCTCGAGAGTACGTGGAGTTCCGAAAACGACCAAGCAGAGTCGGGAGCTGTACTCTGGTGCCTTGCAGTGAAGCTGTCTCCGCCGTGATAGCTTGATAACCTGAAAGCTGTGTCACTGATCGTGTCTATAACAATTTGGCGACTTTAAACGAGATTTTGGAGTTGTCTTGATAAATACCGGCCAATAAAGTGCGTTTTGATTCTTCATCAAGTGCTATCGTCCTTATTCACTCATCCTCACGAACCCCGTACGAACGTGGAGGAAGAAAATAACGTA